ATTTTGTTTGGCGTTCACTTTGTGCGCAATTCTTTTTTCTACGAGATTCTATTCTATTGTAAAAAGTTTAAGAAATTAAAAATGGATTAAAAATATTGTTTATATAACGAGTTGCCACCCCTCGCAGTGTTACATAAGAATATTTGAGAAAGTTTAGGGGAGATCACTCCCGGTTGATTTATGGGGATATGCTATGTTTTTTTCTATTTTTTACAGTTTAAGATCTAAAGCCTTTTGAATACTTTTATCATATTTGGCATATAAAAGTAAGTATAAAACAACAAAAAAAAGGGTCGAAAACAATTTTGGTTGTCATGGAAACCCAAAAAAACATCCGCCATTTTGAATTTTTCGGTACTTTTAAAAATACTAAGGCTTTTTTATTTATGCACCTATAGCAATCAAATTTAAACTGCTTATATTTCAATATATATTAAAACTTTTGTCACGACAACTTTTTGAAATAATTACTAGTAAGAATTTTACAAGGTCTAAAAAATCGTACCCTTTTTAGTATTCAAAAGTTTCAAAATGTGCATATTAATTACAAAATACTTTTTTTCTATTAAAGCAATCACAATTCCCTCGTGACAAAAGTTGTATTTTTGCATCAAGAACATTTACTGAAAATATGATTGGTATTGTTTAATAAATAAAAAAGTAGTAGGCTTTTTAGTGTTAAAAACATGCGAACTGAGAAAAACAGCAAAAAGTAACGAAAACTAGGTCAGGAAAGTACCATATCTGTGTAAACTGCAAAGCCGATTGTAAGCTTTGTGTGTTTCCGGGATGTAGGAAATTAAGTTTATTAGATACATGAGAAATCCAGCTTTCCAATGATGTCAAATACAATATAATGACGGATATTAAACTTTTCATAGAGAGCTTGTAAGATTGGGAAAAGTTGATTATTTTTTAATTAACATGGTCATAAAAATCGTAATTCAAACACAAAATTTTTTTTTTTCTCTTTAAAGTTATTATTTTCTATAAACAAAAATGAACAAAGTATCCAAAAGTGCAAGAAACCCATCATGACGAAAAACAAGAAATTTTGTGATTTTTTTCCGCGCATATCCCCTTATACTAACGTTAAATTATCAAGAAATGACATAAAGTCAATGTGACTTGCTGTCCTCTATTCGTCGCAACAATAGTTCAACCACCTGTGCTGCCCGCATTTACCACGCTCGTTGCATAACGAAGCATTGTATCAAAACAGAAAGCCGGCACTGTACAAAGGCTCTCATTGACATAAAACGTCAACAATACACAATATGATGGGACTTCAATTCGTCAAGTTTGTTTTAGGTATTGTTCCTATTCTGCGGATGCGAGGCCCTCGGCATATAATAAACACATTTTGTTTTATATTGTTAGAATTTTCTTGTTTATGTCGACAGATTTTTTGTATTCTCAACTTCGTCACAAGCTGCAGCTACTGAGAAATTATACAGAAAACAGGAGTCAACAGTTTTCTATACAACATAGATGTCACCTAACAGAACTTGTTCTTAGGGCAGCGTTTGATGATAGAAGTAAACATGACAGATTAAACAAATATCAAAATCAAGAACTAGAGCCTTTATTTGAAAAATGTATTTTTACTTTCTCCTCGTATAGGCCTACAGAGTATAGAGAAAGTATTGTAATCGTGCACAAAAATCACATGAAATTTTGACATTTTTCACCGTTTTACTTCTCAGTACATCGTCATATGCGGAGTATAGAGGACTTTTTTTAATCGGTCAAAAATTCTAAATCCAGATTTATCAAAATTTCGGCGTTTTAATAGTCAGCACTATTATACACATTTTGTTTGGCTTTAACTTGGTGCGCAATTCTTCTTTTCTACGAGATTATATTTTAAAAAGTTAAGGTAATTAAAAATTGATTAAAAAACCATGTCTATATCCCACATTGCCATCCTCAGTAGTGTTACATACGAATATTCGAGAAAGTTTAGGAGATAACACCGGTTTATTTCTATAGGTGCCTGTACCTCCAATCTAGGAAACACCTTAGATGTTGAAATGGCACCACAGTTCTTGGTACGACGGTCTGGGCTTCAGTTTATGATAGAAGACTTTAATAGTCTACACTTGGAATACCGTGAAGGATATTCTGAGTTTATTGAAGATGTGGATTTTTTTACTGAACGTTTGAAAAACTGGAAAGAATGTCCTGGCTGTAGGTACGTCTCTTACAACGCAGAATAACTAAGAAAACCAGAAAAAGTACCTGACGATCATACATGGTGTTTTCCTGTAGGCTGATTATTTTAACTCAAAGCTACTTTGTGTAAGAAGAACATTTTATTGTAACATCGACGTTTGAATTTATGTTTTAAAATGTCTTAAATAAGAATGTGTGGTATTAGTCTTAGAGACACCACTGTATGGTGGACCAACACCAAACGGGGGTTAAGGGATGATTTAGATTTTAGTATGTTTAGATGTCTTGTTGTTATTCATGCTAAAACATCGTTAAAGGCAAACCATTATTAGAAGAATTTAGAATCTCCACTATCAACCCCTCACAGATGCGTGACATAACATGTAAAAAAAAATTAAACATTTGATACAGTTTAATCTATGCAGCTATATTATAATTAGCATAATATTTCTAAACAAGGTATTTTAAGAAATAATGGCCTTATGTATACATTTCAATTATTTTACATTGCCAATTTTTAACAGTAATTATCTTGTTTTTACAATACCACCGAGTATATTTAAAAACCAAGTTGCAACGCACCAGGCTACACTTGACACACCATTGCATTCAGTTATTGTGGTCAAATTAAAGTTTTAATCATTTTTCATCCACAGTTTTGATTCGCAATAATCAGTACACTAAACACATCAGGCTATATTAGCCACATGTTGGGAAACATCCACTGCATAGCGCAACATAGAAGACGAACAATCACAAACGGGTTACAAAAACAAGACTAAATGCAACAAAGGCTTATTCACATTAAAACAGTTTAATACTATGTACACTATTTACAAAACACAGGCTATTCTAAATATAAATACAAAAGCTAGTACACAAATTAATATACAGTGGCTAGAGAACTAACCTACATTAAGCTTTAGTAAGAAATGAAGTTAACTGAGGCAATCAAACACGTTTTTATTTGTTCTTATACCTTTACAGAAAACAGGGACAAAACTGACAGCCAAAATTGACAGCAGGCGAATTTACCAGGGACGAACGGGACAACATTCACCCCCATTCATCGCCCTTCACTTATTCACTTCAACAAACCACACTACACTAGACACAGAAGGCTACACTAGACACACCAGGCTACACTAGACACACCAGGCTACACTAGACACACCAGGCTACACTAGACACACCAGGCTACACTAGACACACCAGGCTACACTAGACACACCAGGCTACACTAGACACACCAGGCTATACTAGACACACCAAGCTACACTAGACACAGCAGGCTACACTAGACACATCAGGCTACATTAGACACACCAGGCTATACTAGACACACCAAGCTACACTAGACACACCAGGCTACACTAGACACACCAGGCTACACTAGACACATCAGGCTACACTAGACACACCAGGCTACACGAGGCTACACTAGACACACCAGGCTACACCAGGCTACACTAGACACACCAGGCTACACTAGACACATCAGGCTACTTTAGACACACCAGGCTACACTAGACACACCAAGCTACACTAGACACACCAGGCTACACTAGACACACCAGGCTACACTAGACACATCAGGCTACATTAGACACACCAGGCTACATTAGACACACCAGGCTACACTAGACACATCAGGCTACTTTAGACACACCAGGCTACACTAGACACACCAAGCTACACTAGACACACCAGGCTACACTAGACACACCAAGCTACACTAGACACACCAGGCTACACTAGACACACCAGGCTACACTAGACACATCAGGCTACATTAGACACACCAGGCTACATTAGACACACCAGGCTATACTAGACACACCAAGCTACACTAGACACACCAGGCTACACTAGACACAGCAGGCTACACTAGACACACCAAGCTACACTAGACACAGCAGGCTACACTAGACACACCAAGCTACACTAGACACACCAGGCTACACTACACTACACTAGACACACCAGGCTACACTAGACACACCAGGCTACACTAGACACACCAGGCTACATTAGACACACCAGGCTACACTAGACACATCAGGCTACACCAGACACACCAGACTACACTAGACACACCAAGCTACACTAGACACAGCAGGCTACACTAGACACACCAAGCTACACTAGACACACCAGGCTACACTACACTACACTAGACACACCAGGCTACACTAGACACACCAGGCTACACTAGACACACCATGCTACACTAGACACACCAGGCTACACTAGACACATCAGGCTACACCAGACACACCAGGCTACACACAACTGAGCAACAGACTATACTAGACACACCAGACTACATTAGACACAACAAGCTACATGAGACATCCATTCATCCATCCACCTCTCCGTCCCTCCCTCCGTTCGTTACAAAAATTGTCAGTGGTTTTGAAATTACTTCCCTTAGTTTTAATTATCTACCTGTTATGCAACACTTATGGCGATGTTTAAATTTAGATTGCAACGCTGTGCATTTTAATTTTTTTGTCTCTTAGCATATATAATTACGTTATCGTTGTCAAAATAATATTTAAATTATTTCTCCTTCTGTAAACATCTGGATAAGATACTTAAGACACCTGTAGGACATTTAAATGTAGTAGATTCTTACCTCATATATTAATTAATAATTGTAGCCCTATCACGTGACACATTTTTACTTTTCGCGTATTGATCTACACGACAGCAGTTCAAGTGAAACATGTAGACTGCGCAACACTTAAGTCAGCTGACTCAGATCTGCTGGATGTCAATTGGCTGGGTCGTGTCACGTGTTTTCAGCATAAGCGAGACCCCCTTCATCAAGGGAGCATTGGGTGGTTTGGCGGGTTTAGTTCAAACGTGTTTTCCTTATGTACCAGATCTGCTCTTGTTTGTAATCCGAAACCCGCTTGTAAAGGTAATTAAAATTCATTCTTATTCACATTTTACAAGATTATTTTCCTGCAAGAAATTGAGATTAGGATAATGTTAAAAGGATAAGAAAATTAAAATTATCTTAAAAACTTATGTTGCACGTTCAGGAAAAAAAAAAAAAAAGGAAAATATCTAATAAAAGGAAACTTATACCGAAAATACTAACTCAGTGGCGTTGTTAGGTCGGGTGTCACCGGTGCGCTACCTAGCGGTGAAATTTTGTGTAAATTTTGTGTCACCCCTCCCCCCTCCACTTTTTGGATAGGTCTAAACTTTGCGCAGATAATAGTAACGATGTTTATGTAAAGTCGGTTATTAATGCAGATGGGTGTTACATTGTTTTCTCTATTCTTAGCAAGTGTACGAAATGGTGTTACCCCCCTCTTCTTCTCGGGATTCGCTAATTTTGCTCTTAAAATCAATTTAACTGTAATTAATCATTCATTTAAATTTTAAATGGAATAATCTTTTTTTTATATATATATTTTGCTATTTTTGCCTGGCTGTCACACCCTAAAAGTAGAGGGTATCACCCTGTGCGGTCCGCAACCCCCGCCGCCTTTGCTACGCCTCTATATAAACTTTAAGGCCAAACCAAAATTAATTAGTTAAAAATAAAAAAAAAATAAAAAACTACAACGCTAAGTAAAGCACAAAAATTGAGTCTGTTTATTAAACTATTTTAGTCCTTAATACTTGATACAAATCTTTGATTTTTTTTAGCTTCACATACCATCTAATTAGAGGATACATGGAATTTATCTAGATCTAGAGCTACGGATAAGCTAGACTTATGGCATAAGCCATGAGTTTTCGTATGTCCGTAGATTCTAGATCTAGCTCTATCTAGATTCTAGACCAATAATATAGGCCCATAATGAGTTTCATTACTCAACTATTTTTTGTGGCTTTTTTTGTGTGCTTACTTTCAGAGAAAGTCCAGTCAGAAGTTTGTGCGAGTAGGCCCGCTAGTAAGATAAACAACGTGCCTTTTTCCATTGACAAGCCTCTAAAGCAGTGGTTATTTATCTTTTTGGAGGTACCGAACTCCACCAGTTTAAAATGCGCATTCACCGTATCCTTCATAATAGTTGTATCATCCGCACTGATAAAATTCAATCATGAATAAAGAGTGGAGTGTGTCTTAATCTTCATCAAACACTGAAGACAGACTGAAGACCGAACCCCTGTGGTTCTATCGAACCCAGGTTAAGAATCACCGCTTTAAAAGTTTGATTTGGGTGTAGAGCTCACAGTAAAATTTAATTCCTTTACAACAGAATATAGATCTAGTTTTCTTAAACCGTATAAGACATCACCCTTAAATACATGGAATTGTTTACAGCTTTCTTGAAAAACGAAAATCATAAGTTAATTTAATGAAAAAAAATTAATAAAGGCTTAAAAACAGCTTTTTTTTCGTTGTATTTGTAAAAAAAAAATTTACTGCATTAATTGTCTGTTTTATAACAGGCTATAAAGATTTAGCTTAAAATGCCAAGATATAAAATAACTATATGAGAGTGTCTTGTTATGCTGGATACATTGTGTGGCCAATCCATCTCTATTTTCTTTGTAGGATCTCTTCTTCAGCTGGCTGCTATTTGTCCGTGGCTAAATACCTTATTTCTAATGGTTTTAGATCAGCGTAAACGAAGGATATTTCTGATGCATGAGTTAATAAATGATTGCATTTTCTTCTTGTTTGCGGGTGTATTCTCCATGTCTCAGCTCCATAGAATAAAACAAGTTTTTAGTAAAAACAGGTTTTACTAGTGTGTTGAAGACACATTTTTTTTCAAAAGATTACATATACAGAACCACAAACATATTTATGAGTTGAAGGAGCTTGTACCTTGTCTGTCTTTATTCTGTGCCGCCATGATTATCAACGCTACTTTCAAGGTTTCTGAATCTATCGACTTGTTCTGGAGCTTCCGCTGCAAATGGCATAGGGGTGCTGCTTGATGTAATGACGTTGAGGTCTCCACTTTTCCCTCAGTGAATGTTCAGGCCTAGACATGTAGAAAATTAGCGTAACTGTTAGTTTTATTTTGCAATTGCTGTTGTGCCTCCTACCCACGCATATCTTCACACACTGTTTCAATTACCAATGGTATATAAGGTTTTGGGGTCGTCAGGGTCAGGGGCGGATTAAGCTTGAGCAGGTCCCCCGGCTGAATTTTTTTGGGGGTCCATTATATATATATATATATATATATATATATATATATATATATATATATATATATATATATATATATATATATATATATATATATATATATATATATATATATATTAGCTGCATACCCATGCTCCGCCACGGTAAACCTTTTTTTAATTGTACCAACTTGGGAAAAGAACAAAACTAAACACAACACAACACAAACACAATACAAACACAACACTAACACAACACTAACACAAACACAACACAACACAAACACAACACAAACACAACTCAAACACAACACAAACACAAACACAACACAACACAAACACAACACAAACACAACACAAACACAACACAAACACAACACAAACACAACACAAACACAACACAAACACAACACAAACACAACACAAACACAACACAAACACAACACAAACACAACACAAACACAACACAAACACAACACAAACACAACACAAACACAACACAAACACAACACAAACACAACACAAACACAACACAAACACAACACAAACACAACACAAACACAACACAAACACAACACAAACACAACACAAACACAACACAAACACAACACAAACACAACACAAACACAACACAAACACAACACAAACACAACACAAACACAAACACAAACACAAACACAAACACAACACAAACACAACACAAACACAACACAAACACAACACAAACACAACACAAACACAAACACAAACACAAACACAACACAAACACAACACAAACACAACACAAACACAACACAAACACAACACAAACACAACACAAACACAACACAAACACAACACAAACACAACACAAACACAACACAAACACAACACAAACACAACACAAACACAACACAAACACAACACAAACACAACACAAACACAACACAAACACAACACAACACAAACACAACACAAACACAACACAAACACAACACAAACACAACACAAACACAACACAACACAAACACAACACAAACACAACACAAACACAACACAAACACAACACAAACACAACACAAACACAACACAAACACAACACAAACACAATACAAACACAATACAAACACAACACAAACACAAACACTACACAAACACTACACAAACACAACACAAACACAAACACACAAAAAAATAACTCAACAAAACACAAACACAGTACAAACACAACAGAAACACGACAAAAACTTAACACAAACTTAATACAAACACAAACACAACACAAACACAACACAAACAGAAACCGAAGTAAAAACAACACAAACTCAACACAAACACAACAAAAACTTAGCACAAGCTTAACACAAACTAAACACAAACACAACACAACACAATCACAACACAAGTAAAAACAAAAACACAAAAAACACAAACACAACACAAACAAAATATGAAACATAAACTCAATGCAAACAAAAACAAAACTACAAAGTCAACACACAAACACAAAAGACAACAGTCATTAATTTGCAGTAACATTTTGCATATTGTATTATTGCAACAATAATTTCTTATTTGGAGGTCCGTAGATTTTGCACTCACACTTTTTATTAGCGTGAGTTGAATTTATTTTTAAATTACCTCTCTTGGACAATTACAAAACAGTCTAATTAATTAATTTTCGACCCAATTATTATTATAATATATCCACTTTTTTATGAATCTAAACAAAAATGATATTTGACATTGATCCTTTTAATATGTTTTAGTAATGTGCATGTATTTAATATTTTCTTTACGTTATGCAAAAGAGTAAAAACAGTGGTAACTATAAAATGAATTTAAGCCGTTATATAAACAAACCCTACTCTATTACTTATACTAAGACAATGCCATGCACTGAAAAGCACTGCATGGTTCGATGTTTGCTTTTATGGTCCCAAAATCTATAGCGATGACGGAAGGAAGGACTGACACACTACTAGCTTGCTTATATAAGTAAGCTTTCGCAAGTATTCTAAGACAGGAATAAAATGGCATTTGATGGGGATTTAGCAAACGAATTTATATTCGCTTAGCGCTTGCAGTAAGTGACTCTCTCAGAATTACCTATGTCATTGAAGCATTGTTATCCGTATAAACATGGCGAAAATAAATGAGGAAAAGACCTTTTACTTCAAATAACTAAATTCAAAACATAGGTTAGATACCACCTTTTAAAACGTAGTGGTTACGAATGATGCAAATAGCTGGATCAGTAGGTCTACACATTTTTTTTTTTATTATGTTAGGATTAAAGCACTATTTGTAGGCTAGTAGATCGATCACTCCTACACAAACATGTTTAAGTAAAACATTTTTTCTACTCGTATTTGTATTCAATGTTTTATTTCCTGAAACTAGTCAATCAACCGAATTGCATACCAAAAATAAAATGTATAATATTTAGGTGCATCGTCGCTTTTCGAGGAGAAAGTGACAGCTGGTGTAAACATTAGAAAGGTGAAGAGTTTTGAAGTTTTTTCATGGGGAACGACTGGTAAATAAAATGGATTGTCATTTTAACATAATTTAAAGACGGTTAGGATTTGTTTCATTGATTGCTAGGGTAGCCTATATTACAGGTTGTCGGAATGCATGTGACTGACAACTAGTTCAAAGTGTTGAATCTTTTCGGTATTATTTTTCATATTTTTTGTTACAACCGCGTTACACTATCTGAAGCGATCTGACGAAATAACTTTAAATTGCTGGCTTTTTTAAAATGATGGGTCGCTTATTTGTCACTATTTGGCAGCTGTTTGTGTTTTTTAAAGCTAAATCAATTTATTTTATTGTCATAAGCGAACGCTATTCTGGACAATTTTAGGGAGCTTCTGCTTTATATAAACAATGTCTGAAAAGGAGGTGATGTTATGTGATATTCATACTTAAGTGTGTGCACATGTTTTATATTTTTTAAAAAAAATTGAAGGTTGTGATTCAAATATAAAAACATTTGTTTTTATAGTGAAAACAAACAATTAAGCAATAAATTTGAGGGCCCCTAAAATTCGGGGCCCCTTACTTCAGCCCTCACAGCCCCCACCTCTAATCCGCTACTGGTCATGGTACACAAACTTCCAAGTAATAGCAAGGCACAAGCGAGATGACATCAACTTTATACTCCATCGTATCCATAAAGTAGGACGCTTTTTAGGAAGAATATAGAAAATGTATTGCTCATGGTGGGGACTGGGGTGCTTCAAATCAGACGACCACCTGTTTGTCACTTTATTCGTAGTATCCCTGTCCTCTTAAGCAGGACGTTCAGTCTGGGAATCAAAGAGGATAAGGTAGCAACGGAAGAGGGACGAACGGATCGCCTTAATCAAACATTACTGCAACGACTTACTAACAACATGGCTTAAAAGCCAAATAAAGTTTATGACGGTCGGATGAATGGTATAGAAATGCATGAAGAATAAACAGTTACTAGACGGCAGAGGCGCCGAATATGTAATTATTTTAATGCCATAAACCTCTGCTCCCTCTTCACAAGGAGATACTACTGAGTTATTATATTACAAAACATTCAACATTAGTTATAACTCCTTCTGTCTAATATATATATATATATATATATATATATATATATATATATATATATATATATATATATATATATATATATATATATATATATATATATATATACATATATATATATATATATATATATATATATATATATATATATATATATATATATATATATATATATATATATATATATATATATATATATATATATATATATATATATATATATATATATATATATATATATATATATATATATATATATATATATATATATATATATATATATATTTATATATATATATTTATATGTATATATATATATATATATATATATATATATATATATATTGTGTGTGTTTCTTTGTGAGTACATATACATTTCATCATAAAATGAGCTATAATTGTTAGTACATTTACAGATAACAGCTTAAAATTCTTCAACATGTCAATACAACCTCTTTGGTTGATGATACAAGTCTTGACGCTCTTCCATGTGTTCGCTGAGACTCGTGAGTATAAGAATCAGGATAAATCGTATATAAAGATTAGATATAGTCCTTCCTTACATGAAGAAAGCCGTTTTTAATTCCTTAAGCCTCTGATAAAAATTAAATAAGCTACTTATATATATATATATATATATATATATATATATATATATATATATATATATATATATATATATATATATATATATATATATATATTCACCTATTTCGTAAGGGGAATAAAATATGGGAAACCTAAAGTGTGCTAAGGAAAGATTATCCAACCACCAGTGTCTTACGTATGGCCTGGAATGTTGGAATCCCACAAAAGTGATTGAGATTTTTCTAAAAGCTTTTTAGAAAATTGGTTACGGCAATATTTACATAGTGTCTGGGCAAAAATCATCCCAAATGAGGAAATAAATAGAAGACCACTTACCCATTAACAGCAGTTATCAGACATAGGAGATGGAGATGGGTAGGCTATGTTCTAACAAGGAGAGCAGACACTTTGGCTAGGACTGCTATCAGATAGTTAATACAAGACAAGAAAAAAACAAAACGAAGATCAATGGAAAAAGAGTTGAAGTAAGGAGGCCTACCATTCGAACAAGCAGAGGTTATAACTCATTTGTTGATATCTTGTGCGCCAGTGGGTTTATATATATATATATATATATATATATATATATATATATATATATATATATATATATATATATATATATATATATATATATATATATACATATACTGGAGGATGATCTAATTCATTCATTCTTCGACATAAAGAAGTCAGCACATGTCGGTAAATCTTGGGGGTAAGTGTAGACAAAAAATATCGTGCCTTTTGAATGATGCCATCAAGCTAAGGAGACGATGAACACTTGGGTTGGCAACATCCTGCAACCTCTGATGTAAATATCTTTTACCAACTGGTCCCGCACAACTGCCGAAGTAAGGCTGGGGTGAAAACAACGAACTTCTTCTACAGTAAAGGAATCCCGTACATCAGAATTAAGTGTTAGGTGTCAAATTATTATGCTTTTCTTTTTGGATTTGCATCCATGGTCTTTGTCCAACCAAAAAACTAACTGCAAGATAGCAGTTGTTTGATTTTGGAGTTGTCACTCCTATATAAGTTGCTGTTCCCAGCTATGGAGCCTCATCCGCCAGGGGGACTTTTCGGTTCAGCAGCCATGAGCATAATCAACCCGACCATGTCGATCTCCTAGTTACAGAACAAGTCCAAGGAACGTTTTTATTGGATGTTACAACAAGATGAGACGAATAATCGAGCTTGTTCACACCTGACAAAAAAATATTCCCCTAAACATCTGCGATGCTCAGATGGAAGGATTGGAGAAGTACAAAGTAAATAAGAAGTAAAGTTTCCTTTTTTAACCTGCCGGTGTATGGAACAAGAGAAGTGAGAGTTCGCCTGTTTATGTGAACTCGGCATATGAAGGTATGTTTTGATCAGCACTATGCCCAGCCAAGTTTACATTCCCTAACTTGAATCAGATACTTATAAAAGCTTGATGGACTCATGCATATTTTACTGTGGCTCTACCCTCGTGAATTTCTGGTTAGCAGTCTGGTGCTCTACTGCTAGGCCACGCCGTCTTTGCTCAAAGAAGTGCATACTACTTACCTAGATAAAAAGCAAATTAAATCTAAGAAAACGCTTGACTTATGGTTGTTAGGTCGTAGAGTATTTGACAAACAGTATGTTTAATATGTGTGTGTGTCTGTTAAAGATCTATAAAAAACAATTTATATTGATTTTAGATCAATGCATTGCCTACGATTCGACGGGATTGATAAGTGTAGAAAGCAAAACGGATAAGCCCAAAGTGAGTTGTTTTATCCTGTTAAACTACTTTGTTGCGCGTGATATAATTAATGTAAGAACAAATGAATGTATATTTTTGCCTAACTCATTTATTGTTCAATGTTTTAGTTTCCGCAAACCAACTAATTCCCCCACCGAGGGTCTCTTTCATGCATCTCTTTGTAGGGAGGGGGGGGGGGTGTGTGAGTGGGGGGGGGGGGACACGTTAACCGACCACCCGGAAAAAACTAGATTTTTAAAAAAAAATTAGAAACACATTACTGCAACTACTATTTGCCCCCCTCCCCCCCATTTTTCTTGGAAATTTAAATGCAGCCCTCAAAGATTCAAGCCCATCCCTCCCCTCCGGAAAATATTGTGTTGAAAAAAAAAACACTTCCCAAACTGAATTACAAATTAATTTGGAGTTTTACAGAGTAAAATGTACCGTGATAACAAATGTTTATTCAGTTAAAAATAAATAAAATCTTATAGTCAATAAACAATTTTATTTTTTAACTGAATATTATTGTAGTGGAGGGAATGCCACATTCCTGAAAAGGCTAAACTGTAAAAGAAATGTGTTTTTTTTAAAAAAGTAAAATACATAATGGGTGATAGAGTGAGAGAGAGTGTTGGGGGGGGGGGGGAGAAAGAGAGGGTAGAAAAAAGAGGGGGGGGGTGAGTGGAGAGTGGACGGAGAGAATTTTTATTTAACCATCAACATATCTTAGTAATAAAACCATAGTAAACATATTTTCTCTAATTAGAATAAAGACTGTATTACGTATTAATTTGGAGTTTTACACCAAATGACAAAAATTAGAGAGAAAGAGAGGGTAGAAAACTGTGTTGGGGGGGGGGGAGAGGAGAGTCGCCGGAGAGGAGAGAAGTTCATTTAACCATCAACATTTCTTAGCAATAAAACAGTAGTAAATAGATTTGCTCTAATTAGCATAAAGACTGTATTAAATCTTACAATTTTATTGTTTTATTTCGGTACTATTTTAATAATTATAGTGTTGATGTATTCAAATATATATATTCACTTCGTTACTTTTTGTAGTTGTTTGTAAAAATCCAAAACATCTTAATACATTAGTGTTGTTGATAATGAATTAGGAACCAACAAATGTTCCTAATATTAGATGCACAAATACATATTTTAAAATATATTTTTAATTACATAAATCCTTTTTTTTACTATACTGTCTCTTAAAAAAATATTTTTTGACAACTTGCAGGATTGTCTCGATTTAAGTCTGCGCACCCCAAAGTGTGTTTACTTTACATGGATTTCAACAAAGTGTACACTTCGGGTTGGCACAAGACTAACTGATGCATCCACAACTGGTGTGACCTTATCATCGACCATTTGTGATGAATACAGTAAGTTATTTATATCCCTGAGTATCAATAATAACCACATATTCAATACATAGGAAATTATTTTATGACAGCATGCTCTTTAACATATTCGTCTTTGAAAAGGCAATACAAATATAATTTAGACCTCAGGGTCCCAAACTTTTTAACTGGCGACCATTATGTACAAAAGTCAAGCGACCAAAGTCCCCCATAAAATTAATAATTTTGTTTTGTTTAGTCTACAAGTGGCGTCCCACAGAAACACAAGGGCAGGGGGTGGGTTAGTGGGAGGGGGTCTCGATCCATAGATTTTAAAACCATTTATTTTGTATAAAGTTCGTAATATATGATGCATGATTTTCATATCAGGGTAAAGATTGTATCGCAATAAGTGTTACATTATTTTGTGATAGTTATAGTTATAAATAGTTTGAATATTAATTCAAATATGTATGAAACAGTGCCTTTTAAAAAGTTTATCAATATGCACATAAAATTTAGTATGAAAATTATTTTACGTATTAAATTATATATATATATATATATATATATATATATATATATATATATATATATATATATATATATATATATATATATATATAATTGTTACTCTTTAGCAAATTGCTCGTCCTACACGGATATCGTTTTCAGTGATCCGATTGCTATCACAAATCAGGTAAATGTTAATACTGACATTTTGATACGTATTTTAAAACTAGACATAGCCCGTTGAAGAGGAAGTAAAACTGGCGTTAGGCTGAAAGTGCTTTTGTCCTCCTTAAACAAAAATGTTAACGTAATACAAATTCTATTCCCCGAACCGGAATCGAAATTTAGCCGGAAATATAAATTTATGTTAATGCGGAACTTTAACCGGTATTGGGAATTTAACCGCAACAGAGAATTTAACCTTTACCGGATATGGACATTGAAACGGAACTCGAATTTTAAATGAAACAGGAACTAGAATAAAAAACGTTACTTAAATGTAAACTGCAGATTATCGGGTTTTACCTGGATTGGAAATGTAATATAAAACGGTTATTTAAGTTGAATCCAAACTGTAAACAGAACCGGACATTTAACTTGAACCGGAAATTAAATTCGTAGTAGAAACTATAAACAGAATCGCCTATAAGCCGGAATCGGAATTTTCACCAGAATAAAAAGAATCCGAAACTAATTTAACTTGAACCGGAACTTGAACCGAAAACTAGACAGTAAAAAGAACCGGAAGTTAATCAGAACATAAACTTGAACTGGTACTTGAGCTTTATAAGGAAAAGCAACTTCAACTGGAGCCGTATATCATACCGCCAACAAAAGCTAATCAAAGACATAAACCTAAACCTTAACCATTCTTTTTTCTACGAGATTTTATTCTATTTTAAAAAGTTTAAGTATTTAAAATTGATTAAAATCATGTCGATATCCCGAGTTGCCATCCCCTGTTGTTTCATATAAGAATATTCGAGAAAGTTTAGGGGAGATTACTTTCGGTTTATTATCTTTGTTTTAGGTGACCTCACTATCTTTCCAAACGCAACTTTATATTTTTCTTACGTTTTGTGTACAGCTTTCTTTTCAGACAAATAGACAAAAAAGTGAAACTATATTTTTTTTTTTTGCAAGTAGGTGCGGTTAAAAATGAAATTATTATTGTTGTGAAAATAATGTTTAAATGAACTTTATTTTCAAAATAATTGCCAACAAATTACAACGTCTCCAAACACAGGAGTGTGCTCAGCGTTCGGTAGCACAACCAGATGCAATGGGTTATGACTATCGAAATGGTATCTGTCTGCTGGAATTCGTCAATGGAGAGAGAGTCGTCGCAACAGATTCCCCTGGAATGCTACAAGGATATGTTCTCTGCTCACCAAGTAAGTATTCAATTGTCTGAAAAAAAAACTAGAGCACAAGTTTCATTTACCACACACCCTAAGCCTAAATCAAATAGTATTGTCTGAACAATTTACATATTAATATGTATCTAAATACGTATTTTCCTTTAGCAACATTTTTACCTTTTAAATTTCTCCGTCATAAAATGTATACAAAAGCTTAATAAAATTTAGCAATGTTTGCATTGTTTTCACGTCTCCACCAACAATATATAAAAAAATTAAAAAAAATTAACACTGTAAATCAATCAGCCAAGGTGCCTCTAACAGTAATCTTAACCTTTGCTTATCTAATATAAATACATTTGACATACGTATACCGGCTTAGCTGCCGGTGTAAAAATAATTTATTACATATACAATTTATTTTATGCAGAAAATATAATCTTTCAATTATATTATAATGTCAAGTAAGTTTAAAACAAAATGGCCCCATTCGTGTCTCACTAGCTGCCCCGACAACCACACAAGCACCAACCACGGTGACAACCACACAACCACCTACTACTGAGGCAACCACACAACCACCAACCACGGTGGAAGCCGCTGCAACTACCAGAAGACCAAGTAACTTTTTTTTAAATTACACAATTATTTTTAAACTAATAATATCTAAATTATAAACTTTTAATATGTATTTAATTGCTAGTTTTTGTAAAATAATTTAAGATACTGAAATTAAGTATCTAATAACTGGTCATCAAAGAAAGTGAGTGATTTTTTAAGTTGATAAATAACTAAATAGAATCACATTTCTTGGTGGCGTTAAACCTTTATGCTATGTATTAATTTAAAAAAAAATCTATATGACCAACACATTTTGTTTCATTAAACTTAATTGTTTTAAAAATAATAACTTTTTATAACCTCGTTAAACTTTAGGGAAACAATGCAAGAAAGGCAAAAGGAAACTACGCAGAGGTAAATTGGTGTTGGTTGTTGATACAGTGAGAGTAGTGTTGTTGTTACAAAGTTTTCCGAATTTAAATATGAGCACTAGATAAATTGCGTTGCTGGAAGCTGTTGAATTTGTCTCATCTACAAATCACTCAATGTATCACAAAATTATTTTATATTTCAAGCCTAGAAAACATCTAAATGCTTCTGCACTATGTCAATTTTTTATGAAATTTAAGTTACATTTTATATTTAATGCTGAAGTTCTTCGATAAATAACCTCTTTGCTTAAGCGATATCCAATTTTGCGCACAAAGATCCTAAAAATTATAGATACCTTTTTGTTTTTAAAATCACATATTTACTATTTATATTACGACAGTTTCACTCGAAAATGCATCAAATACTTGATATAGCATATTAGACTTAATTTTTAAAATACTACTATGTAATAAAACATTTTCATTCACCTATCTTCATTCTCCATGGTTTTTGTACCAACAATCCGTTTATTACCTAGTAATTTTAAAAAATCTTTTAAGTGTATTTGATTGCATTTTATTACACAACTTCAATATATGCTCATTAAATATTTAATTCCATTTTATATTTTTTCAAACAGCAGTTACCTCACGAAATGGACATTAGAGATTACACCGTTTTGGAATAAATACGGCAAACAAGGGTGTTCTGTAGTTATAGAAAAAAGTTTTAACTTCTCCTTAACTCTACTTCATCATATTTCTCATATTACTTTTAATATAGCTTACAACTTTATAATTTCTGTATTTCAAGTTTTTTCCCCTTCTATTAATAAATAATTTCTCTTCACCGATAATTTCCAAATAAAGTGTTTTCTTCAGAACTAATAATGGTTGTTATTTGTTTTAAGTACATTATTGTCCATGGCGTCACTATAGATAAAATACGAGATGAGTCTTAAGGGGAAATTTGATTTTAAGGTGATGAAACTAAGAGGGTAGAGGGAGACAATCCATGGGAGATAATGCACTCTTCCACTCATGCTTTAACTCTACCAGAGATTTTTTAAAAATACAATAAGGGGATTACACGATGGAAAAAAAAGCAAAATAAATATATGAAAAAGTGATCGTTTCAGTAAATTGAATGATTAAATAAAGTTAAATACTCTTTTAAAAGCAATGTTGAAAAGGGGTAATGTGACACCATGACGTAAAACAGCAATTTTTTTTCGATAGTGAAAACACTGCAACATCCAGATGTTTTAAAAATCTACTATAGAAAAACAACGTTAGTATTATCTATGCACAGTTGAAAGCTATTATGGGGGTGGGTGGGTGGGGGGGGGGGGGGGGGAGACACCATCTTTACATTTTGAATATTTTACAATGGAATATATAAAATTAAAGTAAGTTGATTACAAATATAGTACACCCATAAGAAGTAAAGAGCTATTAGCGAATTCAAACGTTTAAAATTTATTTGGTTGCAATGTTAATTATTTTCCTACACATTAAAAAAGGAATGAAATTTAGACCCAAAAGTGCGTAGTTTCAAAAAATTTAAATACATCCATAAAAAAAATATATACTCATGCGTATACACACAAACACACACACACACACACACACACGCACACACACACACAAACACACACACACACACACATATATATATATATATATATATATATATATATATATATATATATATATATATATATATATATATATATATATATATATGTATATATATATATATATATATATATATGTGTGTGTATATATATATATATATATATATATATATATATATATATATGTGTGTGTGTATATACATATACATATATATTTGTTTTCGATGGGGGTGGCACCATTAGGTGCCGCACAGAAATAAATACAGCATAAAAGTATATTTTGAGTACAAATTTTATTAGATTTTCTGTCGGAACACATCTTAGACCTCAAACACAGCAAATTTGCCGACATGTCATGCTCCCTCATTCTTGTGTGTGGTCATTCTGGTGTAGCAACGCTTGCCGGACTGAACAAGCTTTTAATAGAAGCTTCCAATAGCTATTACTTACAATAAGCCGCATAAACTAACAAAAGCCTAGTCATTCAGTACACAACTACTAGTAATACTAGTATAATTGTAGCCTACTAGAATATTATGACAAGTCTACACTACAGTGTAAAGCTCATAAATAGAAGTGAGCGCAATGTGTTTAGGATAGCCGAAGTGGCCTACTGTTTCCTGTTTACGGATTAAAATTTACTATATAGATCTATATTATATGCAGAAGTATGGACTATTACTAGTCTACAGGCATACATTACGTAAATACTAGTTATTGTAGGCAAGACAGTTTATTGAAATAAATATAACTAACAAATTAAATCTTACTACTAGAACTAGGCTTTGGTCTACAAATGAAGTATACTAAACCTAGTAAACGAGGCTGCAACTGCTACCTTTGTTCTTGTTATTCTTTTACTACTGGAAATCAACATGTAATTATAATATATCTTAGGTAAACCATATGCTAACCTTCTTATAAATATGTAAATATCATTTTTTTGAGTACATTTTGATAATTAATTATCAAAATAATATTTATGTCACTCCACATAAAAAATCTGCCATTTCCTAAAAATACTAAAAAAAAAAAAATTACCGTGTGCCCTGACGGTACTTATAAGTCCACTTGTAAACATCGATCTAATACAAAGACAATTTGATAAAAATTGTATAACTAGAAGTTAAACGCATTTGCCTGACTATTGGAGATGCCAATAAAAAATATTTGGGGATGAAAACTTGAATAATAAGGTAAAACAAAAGGAAATTAGGAACGTGTGTGAGAACGTTACAGAACAATTGTAAACTACCGATACAGCAAGAAATTGAAATTGGCGCCACACCAAAATTTTTCAAAAAACATCGATCCCTCCAACTACCGGCGACTCAGGGGAGATAATACTATTAATTACATCAATACTTTTTAAAATTCATATTAAATTAAAAATAACACAGGCACTTAATTAAAGTGGTACTTATAAGTACCGTCAGTAGATAAAGGGTTAATACAGTGATCCAGGCAATATGTAATTCAATCAAGTAAAAGTATCTGATTTCTGACGTTGAAGTCGAGAGAATCGTAAGAATCTTACAAAGAACTAGTCGCGTCATTTCTTAACAAAACTGGCTAGTAAAATTGTTCATTATGTGTCGATACAATTGGGTTATATGCTATGTGTTAAACGATTTATCTAATCACCTTTCCATTGTAAATCCTTCCAATTTACATTGTCGAAAAAGCGCGACAACCAACATCTTTTTTCTTATTTTACTGTTACACAAGTGTTAAAATCAATCCAATAAAAATACTTGCGATTTTTGTTTGCGAATTGAGCCACCCGCACATACACGCTTCCTCCACCATGTTGGCAGAGTGATTTTTAACGTAAATTTTAAAGTAACTTTTTAAAAATGACACACTATCGTACAATGTCCTTTAGTACAATAAGTTTATTTTCTAAACGATAAAGGTTATCTACTCACCCATCCAGTGTAAATTCTTGCAATTTTATATTGCGAAAAAGACCCCCCCTCTTCACCCCCGCACCATCTTGATAAAAATCACTACCTTTTTTACGGCTGAACAATCGTACAATATGTGTATTGGTCTGTTCCACGAAGTTACTTTTTACTGCAATAGTAGGTCAATCCGTGTCTCTTACGCCTCTACCAAATGAGCTCCCACATTCACCATTAATGATGGTATTTTCGGTGTGATCAGCAACAAGGGTGCTTGTTCTACTGTCTCATTGACTGGGCTACATCCAATGTTGCTGTTGTTTCCATCCTGTCGTTATGTTTCTTCGGACGCGGTATTCGTGAGTCACGTGTGTGTTTGTATACACTGTACGATGGTAAGGACCTCTGGGTTGGTTGCTCACAACAAACCTCTAATCTCTATCGGGACAGTTTCTCATTATATGGTCCTGTTGGTGACAATGGAAACACCTCACATTGTATCCAGCTCAAGTGTTTTGTGCTTCATACTCCCTTCTGTTTTAAACTCGACTGTCGTATTCGTCTTTTTCCCGTCTCTACTAGAAAAACCGAGTCGTGCTCTGGTTCTTTATTTGATATAGGTCTCTCTGGGTGGGCTATAATGTATTTTTGGCTTTGTTCTGTTACCTCTTTTAACGTGGCAGGTTATCTCTCCTGCAAATAACTACTGACTGTAACACTTTATCGATCAATATGAATTCAATTATGTTTTCCACTTTTATCTCCACTTTAGCTGTTTCTAGCCACTTCGTAAACGTAGTTCTTAGATCAAGCACGTAGTTTTTGAAGTCCTCAGCTTTGGGTAGTAGTCTGTCGTGGAATGTCTTTATATACGAATGTTCCTTGTGTAAGTAAAACTCAAGAAGGGTTTCCTTTAATATTCTGTAGTCCTTCATTTCAGTCTCATTTAATCCTTGGCATGCATCTAATGCTTTCCCTCCTATTAGTATAAGGAGTTGAGTCTCCCACTGTGTTTCATCCAAGCTTGTCTTGTTCGCCTCAGTCTCTAATCTCCTTATGTAAGCGTCGATGTTTTCAAAATGTTCATGGAATTTCAGCATCTTTAATAAGATGCATTGATGACTCATGTCTATGTGAGGTGTGCCTTTCACACCATAAGTGTGTCAGCTCGAACTCCCTCTTTTCTTTTTCAATTTCCTCCTCCTGCTTCATCCTTTCGCTTTGATTGCTGCTTCCGCCTTCATTTTGTTCTACCTCTATTCTCGCTCCTGCTTCCATTTTTTCTTGTTCCATTTTTATTTTCTCATTCTCTATTTTTGCTTCTGTTTCAAATTTTTTTCTCTTTCCCTTCTGCTGCATCTGTACCTCCCTTTCTTCACTTTCATTTAATCTCCTCTCTACCCACTCGTCTAACTTCTCTCCCTCGTATCTGTTGCTTTTGCATTAAATATGCCTGTTATAACTGAGTCCATTGTTGAATTTAGTGGGTTATGCGCCCCCCGTCCCGTTCCACATCTGATCCGGGACATGATGCATCCCCGTACTATCTAGCTATGTGCGCCCGCCCCTCCCCCTCGCTGGAATGCCAGCGTCAGGTAGGGGTTAAGGTCCAGAGGGTGAAGCTTGAGCCGGAAGAATAAATTAGGACATTTGAACGTTAGCCTTAGAAGCATGTAGTCGTGTTTTGTTTTTTAAAGTGTGGTAGGCCTGGCCCCTAAATTGATAATCATATTTATTTCCTACTTTAGACACGACCACCATCTATTAAATTAAACTTACTGTATTGAAATTGTGTTGATGTCTTTTCTTTAACCTCTCACTGCCGTCATCAGTACCAACCATAATGATGACGTCATAACAATGCGTATTTGCCAAAACTTACTGGTTTCTCAATGAGTATATTCGATAATTTTTTTTAAACAAAACTCAAAGTGAGACTTAGAGGAAGTTTGTTGGTTCGACAGATCAGAAAACTGTCTAATTTCACCCCAACCTTCAACTGCCCTCCACATTCACACCTACACATCTTCTTTCTCTCGCTCACAACACACCCGCTGTCAATCAACCAGTCGCTTCCCTTATACCCTCGTCCATCTTTACAACAACATACACGTCAACACACCCGGTCTCTCGTCTCGCTACAGGATACATACACAAACGCAGTGATCCGTACCACGTATACACATTTCGTACACAGTACATCACCACACAGACCTGATTGTGACATTGTTATTGGGTGAAACACCCAAGGAATAAACAAAGCAACACACGCATGAACGAGAATTAAAATTGGTCGGGGTGTTAAAACGAACATACATTAATTTTAATTTTCTATATATCTTAGACTGGTACTTCTGAAACTAAATTATAACAGATGTATTGATCATTAGTAACACGAAGAAGTCGTGTTTTAGAGTTTGCAGTAGACTACTGTATTGAAAGGTTAGTTGAATCTAATTAGATTTATTTATTATTCACTATTTGAAAAGCGGAAGAAAAATTCTTGTGACTTGTGCACAGTTTAGCTTGTGTGTTGTGTATTCTCCCATAAACCCTACTAGCCGTCTCGCCAGACTACACAGTGAGGTTCTCTTGTTACAAGGCCTGGTCTGTTACTGTAAAACTTATAATGTATAACAGATTCGGGTTTCTTCGTAAGCACACACAATCACAATGTTTATATAAATCTGATTTTTTAATAATAATTATAATAAAAATAAATACACCGGACCATTAAATGCGAATTGGGAGTATTTTGTTTCACAGCTTAGGCTGCTACTATCAGGTATGTTTGACTCTTGATCCTTTACAGCATATAAACATCACGCATGATATCCCTGGTGGTTTTAGTTTTAAATCACAAGTGTAGAGTATGTAACCTTAAAGATAATCATTGTCCTAGATACCACATCATGCGTTGCACACAAAAATGCCATTCAATTTTGATTCTTGGTTAAACATTTTCGTTAAGATTAATTTTTTTTTACATTTGGCATCCGACCAGGATAGGCAAGCACACCAATTATTGTTCATCAACACATTCGATTGTAAATTGAAATGGATATGATAATAATTATGTTCTTATCAATTAATACTTGTTGCTTGAGAGGTGGCATTTAACACCAGGTATTTACATTCTGGATGCGCAATATTTTTGTCATGTGACACACATCTTCTCGAAGACGATTGGATAAGTTGAGTCACATGTCAATAACAACCACATGACTTCCTGCATAAAGTAACGTTGTGTAGTTTGTCGGGTAGGTCAGTTGAAATTCGGTTTTATTTTGTTTTATCACATTTACTGTTGTTTAATCGGACTCCTGCTTATAAAGGTAATTCAACTTTGTCAATCTTAATTATATTTTACAGGCCTTTGTATAGTAACTTGATAAGGCTCTAGAGCTAAAAGAAATGACATTAAAATTATTGAAACGACATAAATTACTTCTTTCCACATAAAATACTCTTTTTAAGGATACCACATTTTTAGACCCACGGGGCTGTACTAGAAACACCAGGCTACTGTAGACACAATAGGATACATGAAACACACCAGCCAATATATATATATATATATATATATATATATATATATATATATATATATATATATATATATATATATATATATATATATATATATATATATATATATATATATATATATATATATATATATATATATATATATATATATATATATACATATATATATATATATATATATATATATATATAATTCTATTATTGGAGAAGTTAGAAAACAAGCTGTAAGCGCGCCTAGGCATATCGCAACCTCCCCCACCCCGCACGGTCTGGTGAGCTGTGTTCACGTTAAATGTTTACAATCGTACAGCCGGGTTTAGTAACGGCTATTAGCGGCAGATAATTTAGTTTGAAACTAATTTAAACTTAGTGGATGTTACTAAGAGGAGGCTGCTTTCACGGGGGTGGGGGGGGGGTGTAGGGTAGGGTTGGGGTTGGGGGAAAGGAGGGTGGTGGGAAAGGAGGGTGGGGGGGTATCGTCCTTAACGGCCTACTGATAGTGTTTTAAAGCAAATATTTTCAGTGGCAGCGTTGATACTGTCGAATTCACACATTATGAATGACTGAAAAGTAGAAAATAAAACAACTAAATATCGGCGTATAATACGCCGCGGGTCGGCTCGTATTAATTATTGGGCTATACTAGACACCCTAGACTTCATTAGACAAACAAGGCTGCACTCGAAACACCAGGCTGCAGACACACGGCTATATTAGAAACACCAGATTACTCTAGACGAACCAGACTCAGTGTTTCTTCCAGACTTTTTTCTCCGGGGGGGCACTTGAAATCTTCGGGGGGGCGGTAAACTTTCTTCGGGGGGGCGGACACTGTTAAAAGTATATATTTTCTATATAAATTATATAAATTTCATTTCGTTCGGGGGAGCGGTAAAAATTTTTTGGGGGGGCAAAGCCCCCCCGAAGCGATGCCTGAAAGAAACTCTGACCAGACTACATTAGACATACGAGGCTAAATTAGACACATTCTGATGCGTCTCGGGGGGGGGGGGTGCTGGGGATTTCGGACCGCACCAGGTTACTCCATTTATGGGTGACACCAAGGCAAATAATAGTAAAATATATGAAGAAAAATAATGGTCGTTCCAGTTAAATGAATGATTAATTAGTCTTCTAAGAGCCAAGTTGACAAATCCCGACAGTGCGTGGGTTGGAGGGGGTGGGGAGGGGGCGGGGAGCGGAGGGAGAACCATGGCGTAAACCTACTAACTATAGAGAAAACAATGAAACATCCATCCGTATCAATAACCTACTATAAATAAACATCTTTAGTATTATCAGTGCACAGTATAAAGATATCAGGGGGGGGGGGGGGGGGTAACACTAACTAAATGTTAAAACATTTGCCTGAGGAAAAAACTTTAGTTGAGCATTGTAATAACGATATGTCAATCGACTACTGGGATGTGGGTGACACCAGTTTTAGTCATTTTCTACAAAAGCAATGTTTTTTCCACGAATTTACAACTGTGAGAATTAGGCCCCTCTAATTTGAATTGATATAAGTTGACGCCACTCGACAAATAGGTAGGGGGGAGGATGACACAATATACACCTTCCACTGAAGCGGATTAGGGTGAAACCACATTGGAAATTTATAAATCTACATATAAATAGGCAATTAAAAGAGAGCAGCAGATGTATAGAACTGGTTAACTTGCAACATTAAAACATTTTGACGCTTTTTGTCAGCTACGAAAAGAGTTGCCAAACGTTTTGAATCAATTAATTCACTTCTTAAATCAATTAAATCTTTTAATGTTGTGTTTTATGCAATGAAATATTTAAAATTATAATAATTTAATAACAAATGTAGTATACTCATCAGAGGCAAAGAGCTACTAGCGGATAAATAAAGCGGGAGTGATCTTCCCTAAACTTACTCGAATCTTCTTACATAACACTACGGGGGATGGCAAATTGGGATATAAACATGATTTTTAATCCATTTTAATTACTTCAGCTTTTTAAAAATAGAATACAATCTCGAAGAAAAACAATTGCGCACCAAGTGAACGACAAACCATGAGCGTATAATGGTGAGGAATATTATTAGTACATTATAAATTCATATGCGTTTTTAAGGAATCGATAATAAAGTACTAATTTCGATCAACGATATAAACACACTAAATTGTGTTGATTTGTTTATTTTCTTTTATTACACCTTTGATCGATCGTTATAAAATTATGGGAATTTGATGAGAATACTATTAATATAAATATAATAATAATACTAATACGGAATGCTTTAATTTATTTAATGATTAGAAACATGATTGTCATATAAAACGATGTGTGCAACAAAAGTACATGTGTTACACGCAAAAGCAATTTCAAATATTTTTGTATAAAATTAGAAATTTTTTTCAGAACCAGAACTATGGCATTTTGCAAACCATCTTTTTCTGGATCTGGCTCTTCTGCCGAAGACGTGTATAGTGCAGCACAATCGGGTTTAAAGTCAGTATCAAATTATAATGTCAAAAACAGGGAAGGCTACACAGCGTTAATGCTGGCTGTAGAACGAGACAACCTCCAAGTTCTGAGAGCTCTACTTGAAGCTGGCGCTGATGTAAATGTCAGCAGATCTTCTGATGGCAGCTACACAGCTTTGTCTCTTGCTGTTGACAAGGGGCACACAACTGCTGTACGAGAACTGCTTCAACATGGCGCTTTCCTTTCTTGCGAGAAGGGCATTGAGGCTTTAGATTTGGCCAGAGAAAATGGTTTTTTGGATGCTGTAGTCAGGGGAGAGGAGTTGCTAATTAAACAAAATAAGGAAATAATTATGGATGGAAAAACTGGAGTTTTTCAGGCATTTAAAAATAATCGAATAGATTTAGTTCAGGATCTGGTTACAGCAGGAAGTAATATTTCGCTAATACACGAATCTACATACACTTTTAGAAACAATAACAAGGTTTTACTGCAGCAGTTGATAGATAACGGAATTGACATCAACATTGTTTTCAAAGAAAGAACTGCATTAATTATGGCAATCTTTTTCGACAGTCCAACATGTGTAGACATTTTACTTAAATCAAATGTTAAAGTAAATTTTGTCAACAAAAATAAATTGACGCCATTGCATATCGCAGCACGTAAAAACGAACTAATTGTGAAGTTACTGGTAAATGCTGGTGCTGAAGTCAACGCCGAAACATGTGAAGGTGAAACACCTCTACATTTGGCAGCTAGCATGGGTGATATTCAAACAATTCAACATCTTGTGACAGCTGGTGGATCGGTCAACTGCATCAATAACGATGGAGATTCTGTACTAATGAAGGCTACAAAAAGATCTTCAAATGTCCAAGAAATATGTACATAACTTGTGAAATCAGGTGCTAATCTGAATGTACCTAACAAGTTAGGCGTACAGCCTATTGTAAATATTGTATATGTCGGCTGCCTTGAACTGATGCAGTTATTTTTAGAACATGGAGCAGACGTAAATGCGTGTGATTCAATGGGACGTTCTATTTTGTCACTAGCTATATGGAGACGAAAACGAGAAATAACCAATCTACTCTTAATTAAGGGCGCCGATGTTAATTTTATATTTAATGGAGAAATTCCACTGTTAATTATGGCCGTACAATTAGGAGATGTTGAACTTGTAAAAACAATGCTGGAAATGGGAGCTGATGTTAATTTTATGCTTAATGGAGAAGTTCAACTGTTACTTATGGCCATAAAATTAGGAGGTGTTGAACTTGTAAAAACAATGCTGGAAATGGGAGCTGATGTTAATTTTATGTTTAATGGGGAAGTTTCACTGTTAAATATGGCCGTACAATTGGGAAATGTTGAACTTGTAAAAACACTGCTGGAAATGGGAGCTGATGTAACTAAAGCTGATATTAATGGGAATACACCACTACATGTTGCTGTTGATGAAATAAAATTTAGTCAATCGTGGAAGTCTTGTTTGAAAAACATAGACCATTTTTTATGTGTTTACAGTAAAGAAGGTGTTAAGCTACACTTAACTCCGCAGAATTATTTAACAATAGAAGAAATAATTCAATACGATTTTCCTAGTCTGGAAATGGAGAAATGTTGTGACCTTGTAAAGATTTTAATCAAAGCTGGCGCAGATGTTAAGATATCAAGTGCATCTGGAATGCAACCAATCGTGAATATTTTAGACTTTGACAGCCCAGAATTAGTAGAATTATTTTTAGAACACGGAGCAGATGTAAATAGTTGCGATTCTAAAGGCCGTTCTATTTTGTCTCTCGCAATATGGAACCAAAAAGAAGAAATCGCTAATCTACTGGTATTAAAAGGAGCTGATGTTAATTTTATGTTTGTTAAACAGTTACCTGTTTTAGCTATGGCAGTACGGTTAGGTTACGTTGAACTTGTCCAAAAAATGCTAGAAAGGGGAGCTGATGTAACAAAAACTGACAACAACGGGAACACACCTGTACACAATATTTTATTTAATCAAACTTCAAAGTCGTTTGATATCAGTCACTCCACGTGTACTTGTAGCAAAGAGTATGATACTATAGCAATAAAACGACTCGTACATTTAGAATCATTTGAAAATGTACAAAAAGACCACATATGTATTGCTACACGTTTAGAGATAGTAAAAGTTCTAATCCAAGCAGGCTCTAATATAAACCAAGTAAATAATAAACTACAGAGCCCATTGCATATAGCAATAGAGCAAAACATTTTTGTTACAGACAAATATACTGAATATGTAAAAATGCAAATAGCTGGCAATGACCAGGAAGGCACATTTAATCAGCCGTTTTTTGTATGCTCAGAAAACTGTATAAGAAATCATTTTGCGTTCAACCCAAGTAACAAATGTTTCACTGTAACAATAGAAAGATACACATATTTACAATCACTTGAATGTAACCCACACAAAGAGGCTATTAATATTAAGACGCTTCTTAAAATTTTAAAGATACTTCTTAAAAGAGGTTGCAATGTGAACCAAGTAAACAATGACCTAGAGAGTCCATTGTGCTTGGCCATACGACACAAAGAGCTAGTAGAACTGCTTATTGAATCTAAAGCAGACGTCAATTTGACAGGTCGAAATAAACAGACAGCATTACATTTGGCAGCCAGTGGACCGGAGGAAATTGTCAAAATGTTGATAGATGCTGGGGCTGATGTTAATGCTGAAATACAGGAAACAGATGCAACAGATGAATCTGAAACTGACATTAAATTCTTTGGAAAAGAAAGCCAAGGTATTTTGAGTAATGAAAGTAGTGTATATACTAGCTTTATGTCTGAGGGTATTGATGATGAATCCCTAACAGATTTCCCAGCTCTACAATATAGATATAACAGGAAACGTCCATTCAAAGACATTGGTCCAACAAATACTATAGCATTCCAGTATGGTGAGACTCCTCTGCATATTGCAGCTAGAAGTGGCGAAATCGACTCCTTAAAACATTTAATTACAGCGGGTGCTTCAGTCAATGCTCTAGATAAAAAAGGAATCTCTGTGTTGTCAAAAGCAATAGAAAGCAAAAGTATTGAAAAGATCAAATATCTTGTAGAAGTCGGTGCTAACGTTAATGTACCAAATAAAGATGGTGTCTTACCAATTGTTGACATATTGCAATTTGACAGTGTTGAACTAATTAAACTGTTTGTAAATCATGGAGCAGATCTAACAGCTTGTGATAAAAAAAACAATACTCTTTTGACGGTTGCCTTAAAAAGAAATTGTAAAAATATAGCATTGTTTCTAGTTGAAAATGGCGCTGATGTTAATGTGTTGATTGATGGACATGTTCCTGCTTTATCAATGGCCGTTATGTTAGATGATGTGGAACTTGTAAAAAAGATGGTTTCACATAGAGCTGATGTAAATAAAGCTGATAGATATGGAAACACAGCATTACATGTCGCTCTTTCTTTTGAGTATGCTGAAGTGACGTCTGTTGAATATATGCCTCGTTTTTTCCTTCAGGAAGATCAATATTTAGATTCAATAAAGGGAAAACCTTCTATGCGATTTCTTGATGAGAAACTTATGATTAACCGTTGTGAACTTGTTGAGATTCTGATTGAAGCTGGGGCTAATGTAAACCAAACAAATTATTTTGTAGAGAGCCCTTTACACATAGCCGCTAAGGTTGATAACCTACTTAAAAACAAATCTGACACTGGTGATCATAGCAAATATGATGAAATTCTGACAACGTTAATAAATCATGGTGCTGAAGTGAGTGCTTCAATTCTTTATTATTGTTTATCAAATGAACAGTTTGACCAAGCTGGACGTTTATTAAACATCAGTACGTGTCATTTAGTAGACAAAACATTTAGAAATCTATTGTCTAATATTGTGTTATCACAAGTTTGGAGCATTTTCAAAACTAGACATTTTGAAATTTTACAAATGCTTGTGTACAATGGAATAGTGTTAAGAAGTAAAACATATGGAAGTGTTTCAGGGAAAACAATCTCATTAACCAGCCTAATGCTAGCGATAATATATAGACTTGTTGATTTAGCAAAATATCTTCTAGCAACTGGCTATATGACTGCAGCGGATCTGAGGCAACTTCGACAGTTTGATAAATCTCCTGAAGAATTACATAACATACTTTGTGAAATAGACAAAGAACCTACTGCTTCAACCATTGAGCTTCAAAGCCTAATACATGATGTTGTTTCTCAACCCTGGCCACTGGTCAAACTTGCTTTCATCACTGTGTCAACAATGTTGGGTGAAGGTCCAGAGCGTGATGAAAGACTCTCACAGACACATTTACCACATGACCTCAAACAACTTTTGATGTTCCAAACTCCAGTTTCATTACTTCCTGTTAGTGAATGGCCGAAAATGAAGATTCGCTTTGATCTTCGGGATGGAAAATGTCTGTCAAATATACACAACTTCTGGCCTTTTGGTAATTCTACAGACTTGAAAATTACAATTATCTAGGCTGATGTTTGAGGTTAAAAATACAACTGAACTAAAGCTCGTTTAGTATCACCAAAACAGAAGCTATTGTCAAAAGTTATAGAGAATCATTTGTTTAACACATTACATTTAAACTTTTAAGTTATAGAGGCCAAGACTTACAACATATTAGCTTATGCTACATATTGGTTACAATGTAAAAAGGATAGTTTGATGATAATAAAGAGGTTACTTATAAATGAAATCAGTATTGCTTTTTTTTAAAGGCTAACATAGCAATAGGATAAATTAGCTAATGTTGAATTATAATTCATAATTAAAAATTTCAGAATTAGGACATCTGAAATTAGCTTAACGAAAATTATACCCTCAAAGTAATATGCCAAAAAAAAAAATTCCCAAAAAGAAATAATATTGATAAATACCATACCATTTTGTGAAATTTATGTCAATTTGTTGTTAACAGTAAAATTATAGATAACTAAATAATATCTAAATGACTTATTGATTGCTTTTCTTATTATGTTGCGTATACACATGTTTAAATGAAGCTAATATTAAGCTACTTTCATACATTAGCAAAATGCAGTCATTTAGTGTATTGGAAATTAACGTATTATTTAATTAATTTATTTATTAAATGTATAGTCCTGCATATTTGATATTCCTTTTGACGATAATAGATAAGAAACAAACGATGTGTTTTCAGTATTTATATTAAGTAAGTTTACACTGCATTTAGTTTTACTTAAAGATTAACATTATCTGATATAACATTTTTTTTCTTCTATTTTATATTTCCGCAGATGTTTTGTATTCACAACTACGATACAAACTTCAAATTCTAAGAAACTATACAGAAAACAGAAGCAACAAGTTTTCACTACACCACAGACGGCACCTAACAGAAGACTTTCTAAAAGCGGCGTTTGATCTTAGAGGCAGATGTGTCAGGTTAAACAAAGATCAAATACAAGAACTAGAGCCATTAGTTGAAGAATGTATTAGTTCTATAGATGCCTGTATTTACTATCATGGAAACACATTTAATGTTGATAAAGGACCACAGTATTTGGCTCTAAGGTCAGGGCTTCAGTTTATGATAGAAGACTTTGAATCATTACAATTGGAATACAGTGTAGGATATTCTGAATTTACAGAAAACGTTGACTTTTTTACTGAACGTTTAAAAAACTGGCAGGAAAGTTTCGGAACTTTTTGTTTTTACGAAAACGTCACACACCGTGCTGAAGATCTGCGAAAACCAGACGGGATTCCTGAAGAGCATACATGGTGGTTTCCTACAGACTTTAAATAAAAGCATGGGGTATTCCTGATGATCATGCATAGTGGTTTTCTACAGACTAAAACTGAAAACAGAGGGTATTCCTGATTATCATGTTTAGGTTTCCTAAAGATGTTTGCATAATTTAAAAAAACAACAACATTTGAGCATCTAAACTGTTCCCTAAAATCCTGAACACGTTACTTAAATATTGTACCATTTCGATGTCTAAAATGTAAAATGCGTGGTTTTGAAATAATGGAAAACAACAATCACAAATTTAGGAATATTAAAACCATTGAAACCTACATAGACACAAACCAGCAATGGTGGGAAATTAACCAATATTCAAAAGATCTCTTGCGTGATCAATTAGCATTTTTGTTTTTTGCAGACAAAAAGGTAATTTATACTGAAGAAGAAATAGAAACTCTGGAATCTGTTGTGACAATAGTTATGACGCATGACGATAAAAAGTTGGAATCTGTTCGCGTCTCGTTGATTTTGAGGTATGATGCAACAATAGACAATAATGTGACAGTTTGGTCACCAATATTCCGATTTAAAAAGTTATCTTCACCAAAATATTACTTTATGGACAACAATATGCAGGTATGCGAAGAAATAGACAATAATGAATATGTTTACGTCTGCATTGGTTATGAGTCTTTGAATGAGACAAATGGTAACAGCATTACAAGCAATACATGTGTTTGTTTTCCGGGAAAGAATTTGCGATATCCGTTTGCTTTGATTTCAAATAATCCTACTTGCGACGACGGGAAATCACCCGCCATTAACGATCTTAAAAAATGCTTTAATAATTTAACCAGCACAACACTAAACGAAAAAGATGAGACCGTCAAGAGGTTGTTACCAGTGTTAATTTTTAAATTCACAATTAACTCCACGTTTCTAGAAGACATCATCGAAGCATTGAGAACACAACTAGAAACTAAAATTGTGGACGCTCTGCTAGAGGGTTACAGAGAAGTGAATGGTGAAACACAGACAGAACTCGGGAACGCTTATTTTATTAAAGACATTCTTCATATTGTACAGCACAGCAATTTATTTGAAAAGATTAAGCTTACAATAAACTCTTTTTTAAGTATATCAAAGTTCTTGACCCTACAATCTAAAGCCTTTGTACAGCTTTCAGAAGAAGAAAAAGTTGGAATACTTAATCCAGATTCAAACCAGCAACAATTAAAAGTAACATTAAAAAAATATCGTTTCTTTCTCGATACAGAACTTGTCAAAGCTGAACAAAAAATTAGTGAGGAGCTCTCGAAACTTGAAAAATGTTTGTTGAATGATTTAGATTTATTGAAAGGTCTAAGGCCTTTTCAAATAATAAGGCTTTACAAAATATTACGTGACACGTTTTTAAATTTCAACAATACGTTTATAGATCTAGGCATAGAGATAGCTAAGTTGTTGGGTATAACAACGTTTGAGAAACTCGATGCTGTGATGGAATTTGCAGCTACACTTTTACATGAAAAATCATCTGAATTAAAAGAAGAAGATGATAAAAGAGCTGAAGCAACAAAACAAAAAATTAATGAGATTAAAAAGCAGGTAAAGGATGGCATAATATCAGAGGATGAAGGTAGACTACAAATTAAACAAGAAAATGCAAAACTTAATGGACATAACTTTAAAAAAGGTGAAATTCGATGTAAAATTCGTTACAAAAGATTTGAAAGAGCTTCTGAAGAATTACGCAAAGAGTTAAAAGAAATTTGTAACAGATTTGTTGAATTGACAAGTGAATATACACTATTCAGCCAAGGTGAAAAATTTAACTTTGCTGATCCTATGCTTGCAGTTTCACATTACAAGAAACATGGAAAAGATTATTGGAAGAATGGTGTTAAAGTTATTCTAACATTCCAAAGGTATTTGCAAATGGCACGAAAAATGTTATCTAGGAAAGACATAGAATCTACTTGGGAGCAAGATGGAAGTATTAGAAGTTTTAAAGCTGAGAACAAAAACAAAACAAAAATAGCTGTCAGAAAAAACAACATTATTGCAACTTTATTTTTTGCTATTTAATTTTATGTTCTGTTCTTCTATAAATGTAAAACAATATAAAAGAAACATTTAATTTTTAATAACATGAATTATTCCTATGCATTGCTAGTTTCTATAACGGTTAGTATATCTAGTATTTTTTTTAAAAAGATGTATTAGTGTAAATTTGCAGATTTTCAGCTATTATGAGATACTTTATATTTAGTATTTAGAGCTTAATTTCTTATAACTTAACCGGTACTTGACGTAGACCTATACGTCTTACGTAACTTTTTTTTCCAGTTCATTTTGTTAAGAGAAATAAATGTTAAAACTTGTTAACCACACAACTGTAAATAGGATACAATGTAAAGATCACATCCTAAAATTTTAGCAAGCTCATTATGAAAAGCAAAAATTTGTTTCCCTTAATTGATTTTTTAGTTTTGCCACATTAGGAATATATTAAAATCAAATTAAAGTTTTAAAAAACTTTTAATATCAATCTAAGTTTGTTCATTCTTATATGCAAACTATTCACCTTTGTTTTATGGAAGTCTTCACGTATGTGGAACCTAGTTCAACTGTAAATACCATTCATTATTCATAAAGTAATTGTATTGAGGCCAAAAAATTACTACAAATTGACTGATTTTATAAAGTATGTTTGCTCTATATAAAGTTTATAAACAAAATATCTATTTACATAAGATTACCTGTAGTATTTTAAGATTTTAGGTTACGCAATACGTTTGTGAAATAATATATTTTTAAAACATCATAGTTAACAGATTTATATTAAAACATATTTTAATAATTTATTGCTTTTCTTTGTGTTTTACTACTGAACTGAACACAGTTTTACAATAAAGCATACGAGGTATGTAGGGTCAAAGCTTTAAAAAGCTCATCAATTTAGTGCTAATTTAAAACTTCTAGTGCCAATTTTCAGTCTGACAAATATTATTTCTACAATTACTTCTTTCAATGCTAAAGTTTAATTTATAATAAATCCAATCTGAAGGTCTAGAAAATATTTGAAACATGAAACATAGGTATAACTATAGAGATGTATTAATTCTTAACATAATAAAAAATGTTAAAAAATCTAAGTGAGTTAAATATCCGTCGCCAGTGCAACATAAAACGAGGTTTTAACATGAGATTGTATTCAACGACGACCTTCTCGATGTGGTCTAGGTATATTGCATGTTCGTACATATATTTGTTTTTAATTATGTTGACTTAGAATTAAAGTTATTTTAAGTCTAGATAATTGTATTCCTTATATTTAATAATGGGAATAATAAATCATTAATCATTTTCCAGTACCTCTTTCAAATAAAGATTACGAGCCGTATTTATGCAACACTAAGTTTTTTTTTTAAATTAATATAAAGGGGAATAAACGTAAGAGTATCTTAAAATTAGTCTGTTACTTACGGTGCATGCCCTTGTCTATTACTGCGTAAATGTCTAGCTGGTTGTTACTTTTCAATATTCAAATCCCTTTCCGTTACTTTCACTTTCACTTTGGTTCTGAGATGACATAGACTGTCTTTACTGGTTTGTTTACGGTTGTCCGTGACGATCATAACAACATAGATTACAAATGTGTAGGCCCCACTAGTACCTGGAGAAGACGGAACTAGAAAAAAAGGGCAAACTCGCAAAAACAATTTCTGGGCCCCCACAATATATATATATATATATATATATATATATATATATATATATATATATATATATATATATATATATATATATATATAAAGTAATGTATGTCTGTGTGTTTGTGTGTTTCTCCTTTATGCATTACTACACCTCTCATCACATCGCCGTGACACTTTGGGAAGTTGTTGAGAATATTCCTGGGGAGGTTTCTGCGAAAAAAATAATTTCAAATTCGCAGGGGTGGCGCCCCGGCAGGGCGCGATTTGTTTTTCTCTATATACGGTATATAAAAATAAAAGTCTATTTTGGTTTGGCATCGTTCATCCGATAGGCATGAAACTTTGGGGAGTAGATTAGAACACTATAGGGAAGGGTTCTGTCCAAAAATCATTTTTAATATCGCAAGGGCGGCGCCACGGGAGGGTGCGATTTTTCTCTATATACGGTATATAAAAATAATAAAAGTGAATTACAGTGAAAACCGTTCACACGATCGCCATGAAACTTTGGGAAGATGTTTAGAATATTTCTGGGGAGGTTTCTGCATTAAAAAACATTTTCAAATTCGCAGGGGTAGCGACCCAGCAGGGCGCAATTTGTTTTTTTATTCGATATATAAAAATAAAAGTAGATTTTGGTTTGACAGCGTTCACCCGATAGCCATGAGACTTTAGGGAGTTGATTAGAACACTCTAGGAAAGTGTTCTGTTAAAAAAATAATTCTTAATTTCGCAAGGGCGCCGCCACGGGAGGGTGCGATTTTTCTCTATATATGGTATATAAAAATAAAAGTCGATTTTAGTGTGACACCGTTATCCGATAGCCATGAAACTTTGGCGGAGTTAATTAGAACAATTCAAAGAAGGGTTCGGTAAAAAAAAATCCTTTTTAAATTTCGCAAGGGCGGCGCCACGGGAGGCTGCGATTTTTCCTCTATATACGGTATATAAAAATAATAAAAGTGAATCGCAGTGACACCGTTCATCCGATAGGCATGAAACTTTGGGGAGTTCATTATAAAACTCTAGGAAAGGGTTCTGTAAAAAATCATCTTTAATTTCGCAAGGGCGGCGCCACGGGAGGCTGCGATTTTTTCTCTATATACGGTTTATAAATATAGTCTATTTCGGTTTCACACCGTTCATCCGTGTACCATGAAACTTTGGGGAGATGTTTAGATCACTCAATAGTAGGGTTCTGCAAAAAAAAATGTTTAATATTGCAAGGGCGGCGCCCTCCGGGGGGGGGGAGCGATTTTTTTCTCTATACACGGTTTATAAAAAATAAATTCTAATATATTTCGTCAATCTTTCTTTTATCCCCGCGGTAACGCGCGGGGGGCGGGTAAGCTAGTATATATATATATATATATATATATGTATATATATATATATATATATATATATATATATATATATATATATATATATATATATATATATATATATATATATATATATATATATATATATATAGAGAGAGAGAGAGAGAGAGAGAGAGAGAGAGAGAGAGAGATAGATAGATACGAGTTAATTATCCGGTATTTGAAATCTTCTATAATTATGGCGCTAATTTCAATCTAACCGACAATAAAGGGCAGACAGCGCTAATGTTCTAAATTAAACATGGATTTCTAGAAAAGTTCCTAAAATACTTCATATGGTATGGTGCCGACCTTAAAATTAATGGTCGAGATGAAAGGTCAGCTTTAACCCACTGTGTATTGCAAGAGTGTGGGTTTCAGAGGGTGACCTATACAGAAATATTGCTTCAAGCAGGAGTGAATCCGTTGGTAGGTGTAAATTATCGGCATATGCTCTCTAAACATGAACTAGGGGGCGTAAAACAACAGGATTGGCTTTTGAAGGCAGAGGAGTATAGGCCAACTTATAAAATTATTATCCGGTTTGGTCATTTCAATTTTCTTCGTATGTTGATATACAACGGAGTAGTATTAAAACCTTCTTTGCCGAATCAAAACACGCCTAAGTTAACTGCCCTAATGTTATCTATTCAGCTTGAAAAAGTGGACTTATTGAAGTTTCTTATAGCTACATCGTACATGACCCTAGATGATTTGAAATATTTGCGTGAGTTGAGCAAAATCAATTTGAAGGACCGTCGATTTGGCACCAATAATCAATGGCCGTTGAATGTTGACATTTTTAAAATTGTCAAATCAGCTATGTCTCAACCCTGGTCACTGTTAAAACTTGCTTTAATAACATTTTCAACAACGTTGGGAGAAAGTCCAGAGCGAAATGAAAGACTCTCACAGATACATTTACCGCCTAAACTCAAAAGTATTTTGACGTTCCAAACTCCAATGGCAAAACTCCCTGTCAGTGAATGGTCGAAAATATCGCTGTTTTGACACGGTTGTTTTTTAACCTGTGCCACAACCCTACACAATGAACTTCTCTTCAGTGTAGTTGAATACTAAACATGCTAGGACCGTAGGGCTCGACAGTTTTCTACTTTGTTAATATCACTGTGTTGAATCGCTAAACTCTAAACTGTTCAAATAATTTTTTTTTATAAGACTCGTAACACTTGTATTTATTACAATTGATAGTCATATTATTTTTTTAGCTTTTCAAATTATTTTTGTTAGCAGGATCATTCATAAATATATTTTTGAAAGATAGTTGATAAGATATAGCTTAAAATGACGTATTATTATCATAAGTCCATTTGATTATAAAGTTCCGTGTATATATTATTCGTGTTTATATTATTTTACCAATTTGTCTGAACAATAAACTATTTTAACAGCAAATTATTTGTTCAATAACAAATGCTAAAATTTTACGCTTAAGTCGGCAAATACATGTATTGAATAAAACACTGTGTTTGAAATGTAAGAACTAGCAAATTTTAATAATCTTGTTAGTGTATTTTTAAGCCTTACTTATTTTGAAAGTAAGAAAAGTCTAACAGAGCTATACACTACAGCGACAACTTGGTAAAACTCGTTTTGAAAACCCCTCAAGAACTTGTTATGCCTCAACACTTGAACATCTTCACAATAGCGGCATTCATGTGGCAAGCTATGGACTTGAAAAGTAAATAGGATCGGTATTTAGACGGTGCTGTTATGGGTTGAGTTATAATTTAAATTACTATTATAACAATTTAATCATCCTGCTAGGCTAATTTATAGAAAACCGAAAGATTAAAACAAATACTTCCGATCTCTGACGGTCTAAAATTATAATGAAGTACACAACAGCAAAAATCTATAATTTGTAGGAATACATTAAACACTTTACTTAAAGTGTGTTATGAACACAATGCAGATGAGAAAAAAAAATAGCAATATTTTGAATGTGTCTTTAATTTTTTGTAAGGCATAATGTAATAAGATAAGTCAATATCTCACAACGAAAAAT